GAATATCACCGTGGGCCTGGCGGTCTTTGCTACTGGCAGGTAGGTGCCACTCACCTTTGCCCTTTTTTATTTTGGGAAAATGTGGATCGGCATTCACGGGTCTTTGCCCTCCAAAGAGCCAGCCATAATCAAGCATAATTAATGATAACAATAGCCATGATTTCTGTGAGAAACGAACTCACCCTTCCAAAACCAAAGAATGAACTCAGAGACCTGGAGAACGGTGAAAGTGAGACTTTTAATGACGGTCTTGCACGATCGGGTGTCTGATGGGCAGGCACACCCAGCACAGCTTCAACAAGCCATTTATCACCTAGTGCACAGGCCCCTCCCCCAGTTGCTCATAGGCTGAGTACTGTGGGAGGGGGGCGGGGTCACAATCTTCCAAGACGTCACCTATTGGTTGTTGAGCAGGGGCTTTAGGTGTTTTCTTTAGGGTGGTTTTGCTGCATTTTGTTGCAGCCCACAATGCATTGCAGTCGTGGTCAGCTTAGGGGCTCTTCAAATATCTGACTTAGGACCTAAGTAGCTGAGCAGGCTGATACGAACAGACAAAGCGAGCTATTTTGCAGACTAGTAAAGTTTTATCTTTTTAAACTTTTTTGACTAAACTTTTTTGGTTTGGGTGAGGGCAACTAAGGTGGGAGGCCAACAAGCAGGCATTGGCTATATAAGCTGGGGCCTAGTATATCCTGTTTCTTTTGTAGTTTGCTGACCTAAGGCGATTTAAGGCCCTTTGTCTTGAAAATGGACTACTGTAGATATGATTTCCTTCAATTTCTGGCTGGCCTGTACAAAAGGTGTGCTGGGTTTCTCTGTCGATGGCCGAGTCCTTAACACCAGTGGGAACCTTTTGACTCATACTCATTTAGCTCCTGCTCCCTTTCTTCACAACAGCCATTCTAAAACATGGTGGGTTTTCTCAGGCCTCCGAGTGAGGACATTCCTTCCCACTCACCGACTCAGCTGAAGCTGTGGGCCCGGCTCTTCTACGCTTATACATCCCGAGTTCCTTAGCATCAGAGGACACCCATGTTAGCGCATTCAGCCGCCTCTTCTCCTGATCATGTTTAGAAAAGTAAGTGTTGGCCGGGCACGGTGGCTCACGCCTGTAATCCCAGCACTTTGGAAGACCGAGGCGGGTGGATCACCTGAGGTCAGGAATTTGAGACCAGCCTGGCCAACATGGTGAAACCCCATTTCTACTAAAAACACACACACAAAAAAAATTAGCCGGGCGTGGTGGCAGGTGCCTGTAATCCCAGCTACTTGGGAGGCTGAGGCAGGAGAATTGCCTGAACCTGGGAGGCGGAGGTTGCAGTGAGTCGAGATCAGACCACTGCACTCCAGCCTGGGCATCAGAGCAAGACTCCATCTCAAAAAAAAAGAAAAGTAAGTCTCTTCTCTGGTGTGTGTTACCTAGGTTTGCAGAGGAGTACCTGAGGCTGTTCCTACACTCCGCGAATAAGCACTTCATGACAGGCTACCGAGTGATCTTCTACATCATGGTGGACGCCTTCCTCCAGCTGCCTGACATAGAGCCCAGTCCTCTTCGAACGTTCAAAGCATTTGAAGTGGACGCCGAGAGGTGGTGGCTCGACGGCTCCCTGGTGTACATGAAGAGCCTGGGTGAACATATCACCAGTCACATCCAGGATGAGGTGGACTTCCTCTTCAGTATGGCGGTCAACCAGGTCTTCCAGAATGAGTTCGGGGTGGAGACGCTGGGCCCGTTGGTGGCCCAGCTCCATGCCTGGTGGTATTTCAGAAACACCAAGAACTTCCCTTATGAGAGGAGGCCGACCTCAGCAGCTTGCATCCCGTTTGGACAGGGGGATTTCTATTATGGCAGCTTGACGGTTGGTGGCACGCCCCATAATATTTTAGACTTCATCGAGGAATATCTGAACGGAGTTATTCATGACATCAAAAATGGACTCAATAGCACCTATGAAAAGCACCTGAACAAGTATTTTTACCTCAATAAACCCACCAAGCTGTTATCACCAGAATACAGCTGGGATCTTGCATTTTCTCCTCCTCCGCAGATCCAATACGTCAAGGTTGCACATGATTCCCACAGGAAATTATGAATTACGCCGTTAGGTTTATGTCGAATAAACGAATCACGGCAATTTCTTATAAATGAGGGAAGTCTTAAAACTCTCCATTTTTTAGAGACATACAAATGTACATCCTTCCCAAATAAATGTTTCTTCTTGCCATTTTGAGCCATCTTATTTGGCTAATATAGGATAAAGAATAAAAGGATAATTACTTAACATGAGTACACAGTAATGTTATTATCTATGTATTGCAGATAATGTGAAAATGCATTTGACATAGAATGATTTTTTTTTAATGGAGAAAGACTGTAGTTGAGAAAAGACATTCGTAAAATGGAAAAGTAGCTCATGCAAAGGAAAAAATAAATGCCAGCCACTCATTAAGTCTTCACTGTGTTTTTCCACGCTGGGATACGTGTGGCTTGTGGTCAACCTTGTGTATTGTCTCAGTCTGTCCAGTGTGTGATTTGACACAGGTGAGCTAGAGGAATCCAGCCAAAGCCACGTCTTACTATTATGGTTTCAAAGTGAGATGTTCAGTTCCTTTTGTTAAAAAGCTGTAGGTATTGGCCGGTTGCGGTAGCTCATGCCTGTAATTCCAGCCCTTTGGGAGGCCAAGGCAGGTGGATCACCTGAGGTCAGGAGTTCGAGACCAGCCAGCCTGGCTAACATGGTGAAACCCCATTTCTACTAAAAATATAGAAAATTAGCTGGGTGTGGTGGCATGTGCCTGTAATCCCAGCTACTCAGGAGGCTGAGACAGGAGAATCGCTTGAACCTGGGAGGTGGAGGTGAGATTGTGCCATTGCACTCCAGCCTGGGCAGCAAGGGTGAAACTCCATCTCAAAACAAACAAACAAACAAACAAACAAAACAAACAAAAAACAATCTGTAGGTTTTTTTTTTTTAAGTTATTTACTGAGCTCAGTGGTAAAGGTGCTTTGCCAGATGCAGACAGGAATAGAAGACAGTTTGGAACACCTGTGTCTCTGGCCACCCACAGTCTGGCAGGGGTTGAGGCTGTGTGCTAAGAATACATGTTCAGGGTGCTAAAAGTGACAAGGAAGATGGTCACCTGAGCTCTGCGGTGGTCAGAGAGCCAACACCTCCACGAGACGCTTTGTGTGTCACAGAGGGTGAGTGTTCCTGAGTCTGTGGGCAGTGGCAGCTATGAACAGCTTTAGAAAGCGTCATGGCCCACCCCGTTACTATGCTGAAGTCCTAACTCCGTACCTCAGAATGTGATTGTGTCTGCTGGAGATAGGGCCGTTAAAGAGGTCATTAAGGTAAAATGAGGTCACTGAGGTGGGCCCTAATCCCACAGGTCCTTATTAAGAGATTAAGACACAGACATATAGAGGGATGACCACGAGGACACAGGGAGTGTTGGGAGCAAGCCCCCCAAAATCTGGCCATAAACTGGCCCCAACACTGGCCATAAAATCTCTGCAGCACTGTGACATGTTCATAATGGCCCTAATGCCCAAGCTGGAAGGTTGTGGGTTTACAGGAATGAGGGCAAGGAACACCTGGCCCACCCAGGGTGGAAAACCACTTAAAGGCATTCTTAAGCCACAAACAATAGCATGAGCGATCTGTGTTTTAAGGGTGTGTTCCTGCTGTTAGTTAACTAGCCCAACCTATTCCTTTAATTCGGCCCATCCCTTCGTTTTCCATAAGGGATATTTTAGTTTATTTAATATCTATAGAAACCATGCTGATGACTGGTTTGCTGTTAATAAATATGTGGGTAAATCTCTGCTCGGGGCTCTCAGCTCTGAAGGCTGTGAGACCCCTGATTTCCCACTTCACACCTCTGTTTTTCTGTGTGTGTGTCTTTAATTCCTCTAGCACCGCTGGGTTAGGGTCTCCCCAGCTGAGCTGGTCTTGGCAAGTGGTGTCCATCGTGGGGGCTCGAATCCATGTCGAAGGGTTGCTGGAGGGACAGTTGGAATGGAAAACTAGCTGGAGGACACCCGAGTGCTCTTAAAGCAACCCCTGTGGTGAGTAAGAAGGGGAGCTCGGAAGCGTCAGGGTAACAATGGGACAGATATGGGGTCTGGTCCTTTTCACCTTGGAACTTTTTCACACTGATGACGAGGAGGAACAAGAGTATAGTGAAGTAACAGAAGAGATTACAGAGCATGTTTATTTGCCAGCTGAAGCTAAAGTGGCAAAGGAAGGAGAGGTTCATCCCTACCCTTCTGCACCCCCTCATTATTATTTTGAAGAAAATGACCCTCCAGATCTTTCTTTTCCAGAGGACACTGGGCAAAAATAGTTGCCCCAGTGACTTGGAGCAGCGCCTCAAGTGACGACTCTTAGTTCTATTCAGGTAGGAATTCAGCAAGCTAGATGAGAGGGTGATTTAGAGACTTGGCAGTTCCCTGTTAGAATACACCCCCCAGATCAACAGGGAAATATTACAGCTACATTTGAGCCTTTTCCTTTTAAATTACTCAAAGAATTAAAAGAAGCAATAAATCAGTATGGACCAGGTTCTCCTTTTGTAATGGGACTGTTAAAGAATGTTAGTTTCCAGTCAGATGATTCCTGCTGACTGGGACACTCTTACTCGAGCTTATCTAACTCCTGTTCAGTTCTTACAATTTAAAACTTGGTGGGCAGATGAAGCTTCCATTCAGGCTGCTTGCAATGCCCAGGCCCAACCTCAAATTAATATAACTGCAGACCAACTTTTGGGGGTTGGCGGCTGGGCTGGTTTAGATGCACAAGTGGTCACGCAGGATGAGGCCATAGAACAGCTTAGAGGAGTGTGCATTAGAGCTTGGGAAAAAATCACTTCAGGTGGGGAACAAACAGAGCGTGGAAAAAAGGCACCCTTCCTTTGGTGATATAACACAGGGACCAAGGGAACCATATGTGGATTTTATAGCTTGGTTACAGGAGTCTCTTAAAAAGATGATTGCAGATTCGGCTGCTCAGAGGAAATAGTGTTGCAGTTATTAGCTTTTGACAATGCTAATCCTGATTGCCAGGCTGCTCTGCGACCTCTCAGAGGGAAAGCACATTTAGTTGATTATGTCAAGGCCTGTGATGGTATTGGAGGTAATCTGCATAAAGCTACTTTGTTGGCACAGGCAATGGCAGGACTGAGAGTGGATAAAGGAAATACTCCATTTCCTGGAGCTTGTTTTAACTGTGGGAAGCATGGTCATACTAAAAAAGAATGTAGAAAAATTCAGCAAGCCAGCCTGCCAGATAGGGGAAAAAAGAAAACTGTTGAGCCTGAAATATGTCCAAAATGTAAAAAAGGAAAACACTGGGCTAGTCAGTGTCCCTCTAAGTTTGATAAAGAAGGGAACCCGATTTCGGGAAACGCCATGAGGGGCCCATCCCAGGCTCTGTTCTAAACCGGGGCATTTCCAGCTCAGGCCGTTCCCTCACCCCTGCACAGTGTCTGTCCCCTGCCACAGCCGGTAGTGCTGCAGTAGATTTATGCTGCACAAAAGCTGTGAGCCTGGGGAACCCCTGCAAAAGGTCTCAACAGGAGTCTGTGGACCCTTGCCAGCAGGGACAATAGGATTACTTTTAGCGAGGCCTAGTTTAAGTTTAAAAGGCGTACAAATACACACAGGAGTCATTGATTCAGATTACAATAGGGAAATTCAAGTTGTTGTATCTACTTCTGTTCCCTGGAAAGCAGAGCCAGGAGAGCGCGTAGCACAGCTCCTGATTGTGCCGTATGTGGGAATGGGAAAAAGTGAAATTAAACGAACAGGAGGATTTGGAAGCACAAATAAACAAGGCGAAGGAGCTTATTGGGTAAATCAAATTACTGATAAACGTCCTACCTGTAAAATAACTATTCAGGGAAAGAAATTTAAAGGTTTGGTAGATACAGGAGTGGACATTTCAATCATTTCTCTACAGCACTGGCCGTCCATGTAGCCAGTTCAACCTGCTCACTTTAACATAGTTGGAGTTGGTAAAGCCCCTGAAGTATAGCAAAGTAGTTATATTTTGCATTGCGAGGGGCCCGACGGACAACCTGGGACTATTCAACCAATTATAACTTCTGTACCTATAAATTTAGGGGGAAGGGATTAATTACAACAGTGGGGAGCACAAGTTCTAATTCCAGAACAATCATATAACCCTCAAAGTCAACATACAATGCATGAAATGGGGTATGTCCCTGGTATGGGACTAGAAAAACATTTGCAAGGTTTGAAAGAACCACTTCAAGTGGAAAAAGTTCCCGCCAAAGATTAGGATATCATTTTTGATGGTGGCCATTGTTAAGCCTCCAGAACCTATACCTTTAAAATGGCTAACAGATAAGCCAATTTGGACACAGCAATGGCCGCTAAGTAAAGAAAAACTAGAGGCTTTAGAGAAATTAGTTGCTGAACAATTAGAAAATGGGCACATAGCTCCAACATTTTCTCCTTGGAATTCTCCAGTTTTCATAATTAAGAAAAAATCAGGTAAATGGAGGATGTTAACTGACTTAAGAGACATCAATTCAGTTATACAACCTATGGGAGCATCACAGCCAGGATTGCCTTCTCCTGCTATAATTCCAAAAAATTGGCTTTTAATAGTCATAGATTTAAAAGACTGTTTCTTTATTATCCCTTTAGCTGAGCAGGACTGTGAACAGTTTGCGTTTACAATTTCTGCGGTAAACAGCCTGCAGCCTGCTAAGCATTGTCACTTGAAAGTGCTGCCACAGGGCATGTCAAACAGCCCAACAATTTGCCAGACGTATGTGGGGCAAGCAATTACATTATTCACTATAAGGATGATATACTTTGTGCTGCCCTCACTTGAGAAATATTAGCCAACGTTGTGATCACTCACAAAATTCAATTTCTCGTGCTGGTTTAATTATAGCTCCTGACAAAATTCAGATTACTACTCCTTACTCCTACTTGGGGACCTTAGTAAATGACACTACCATTGTGCCACAGAAAGTAACCATACGTAGGGATAAATTAAAAACATTAAATGACTTTAAAAAATTACTAGGGGACATAATTGGATACGACCTGCTCTAGGCATTCTTACCTATGCCATGAGTAATCTGTTTTTTATCCTTAGAGGAAATCCTAGTCTCACTAGCCCTCGGCAATTAACAAAGGAGGCTGAGGTCGAGTTACAACTGATTGAGAAGCAAGTCCATAAA